TAAAAGGAATCCAACCTTTTAGCTTATATCTGCTATACTTAGGAATGAACGCATTCTAACTGAATGCTACTATGTTTATATTACAGATTCCCCAACCTCACTCGTGGCTTCATTATAGCATTTAATTCAAGTCCCATTCTCATTCGGGCCATGAAATAACCAAGCAAGCACATTACATATGTGAAAACATGAATAATTTTTTTTTTTTTTTTACCCCGACTGGGACTCGAAACTAGGACTTATGATTACTAAGTCAAGGCGCTACCACTACGCCACAGAAGGTTAAAAGGAATCCAACCTTCTAGCTTATATCTGCTATACTTATGAATGAACACATTCTAACTGAATGCCACTATGTTCATAATACAGATTCCCCAACCTCACTCGTGGCTTCATTATAGCATTTAATTCAAGTCCCAATCTCATTCGGGCCATGAAATAACCAAGCAAGCACATTACATATGTGAAAACTTGAATAATTTTTTTTTTTTTACCCCAACCGGGACTCGAACCTAGGACTTATGATTACTAAGTCAAGGTGCTACCACTATGCCACAGAAGGTTAAAAGGAATCCAACCTTATAGCTTATATCTGCTATACTTAGGAATGAACGCATTCTAACTGAATGCCTCTATGTTCATATTACAGATTCCCCGCCCTCACTCGTGGCTTCATTATAGCATTTAATTCAAGTCCCAATCTCATTCGGGCCATGAAATAACTAAGCAAGCACATTACATATGTGAAAACATGAATAATATTTTTTTTTTTACCCCGAATGGGACTCGAACCTAGGTCTTATGATTACTAAGTCAGGGCGCTACCACTTCGCCACAGAAGGTTAAAAGGAATCCAACCTTATAGCTTATATCTGCTATACTTAGGAATGAACGCATTCTAACTGCATGCCACTATGTTCATATTGCAGATTCCCCAACCTAACTCGTGGCTTCATTATAGCATTTAATTCAAGTCCCAATCTCATTCGGGACATGAAATAACCAAGCAAGCACATTACATATGTGAAAACATTAATAATTTTTCTTTACTCCGACCGGGACTCGAACATAGGACTTATGATTACTAAGTCAAGGCGCTACCACTACGCCACAGAAGGTTAAAAGGAATCCAACCTTATAGCTTATATCTGCTATACCTAGGAATGAACACATTCTAACTGAATGCCACTATGTTCATATTACAGATTCCCCAACCTCACTCGTGGCTTCATTATAGCATTTAATTCAAGCCCAATCTCATTCGTGCCATGAAAAAACCAAGCAAGCGCATTACATATGTGAAAAAAAAAATATTCATGTTTTCACATATGTAATGTGCTTGCTTGGTTATTTCATGGCCCGAATGAGATTGGGAATTGAATTAAATGCTAGAATGAAGCCACGAGTGAGGTTGGGGAATCTGTAATATGAACATAGTGGCATTCAGGTTAGAATGCGTTCATTCCTTAGTATAGCAGATATAAGCTATAAGGTTGGATTCCATTTAACCTTCTGTGGCGTAGTGGTAGCGCCTTGACTTAGTAATCATAAGTCCTAGGTTCGAGTCCCGGTCGGGGTAAAAAAAATATTCGTGTATTCACATATGTAATGTGCTTGCTTGGTTATTTCATGGCCCGAATGAGATTGGGACTTGAATTAAATGCTATAATGAAGCCACGAGTGAGGTTGGGGAATCTGTAATATGAACATAGTGGCATTCAGTTAGAATGCGTTCATTCCTAAGTATAGCAGATATAAGCTATAAGTTTTGATTCCTTTTAACCTTCTGTGGCGTAGTGGTAGCGCCTTGACTTAGTAATCATAAGTCCTAGGTTCGAGTCCCGGTCGGGGTAAAAAATAATTTATTCCTGTATTCACATATGTAATGTGCTTGCTTGGTTATTTCATGGCCCGAATGAGATTGGGACTTGAATTAAATGCTATAATGAAGCCACGTGTGAGGTTGTGGAATTTGTAATATGAACATAGTGGCATTCAGTTAGAATGCGTTTATTCCTAAGTATAGAAGATATAAGCTATAAGGTTGGATTCCTTTTAACCTTCTGTGGCGTAGTGGTAGCGCCTTGACTTAGTAATCATAAGTCCTAGGTTCGAGTCCCGGTCGGAGTAAAAAAAATTATTCATGTTTTCACATATGTAATGTGCTTGCTTGGTTATTTCATGGCCCGAATGAGATTGCGACTTGAATTAAATGCTTTAATGAAGCCACGAGTGAGGTTGGGGAATCTGTAATATGAACATAGTGGCATGCAGTTAGAATGCGTTCATTCCTAAGTATAGCAGATATAAGCTATAAGGTTGGATTCCTTTTAACCTTCTGTGGCGTAGTGGTAGCGCCTTGACTTAGTAATCATAAGTCCTAGGTTTGAGTCCCGGTCAGGGTAAAAAATGAATTATTCCTGTTTTCACATGTGTAATGTGCTTGCTTGGTTATTTCATGGCCCGAATGAGATTGGGACTTGAATAAAATGCTATAATGAAGCCACGAGTGAGGGCGGGGAATCTGTAATATGAACATAGTGGCATTCAATTAGAATGCGTTCAATCCTAAGTATAGCAGATATAAGCTATAAGGTTGGATTCCTTTTAACCTTCTGTGGCGTAGTGGTAGCGCCTTGACTTAGTAATCATAAGTCCTAGGGTCGAGTCCCGGTCGGGGTAAAAAAAAAAAAAATTCATGTTTTCACATATGTAATGTGCTTGCTTGGTTATTTCATTGCCCGAATGAGATTGGGGCTTGAATTAAGTGCTATAATGAAGCCTCGAGTGAGGTTGGGGAATCTGTAATATGAACATAGTGGCATTCAGTTAGAATGCATTCATTCCTAAGTATAGCAGATATAAGCTATAAGGTTGGATTCCTTTTAACCTTCTGTGGCGTAGTGGTAGCGCCTTGACTTAGTAATCATAAGTCCTAGGCTCGAGTCCCGGTCGGGGTAAAAAAAAAAATAAAAAAAAATTATTCATGTTTTCACATATGTAATGTGCTTGCTTAGTTATTTCATGGCCCGAATGAGATTGGGACTTGAATTAAATTCTATATTGAAGCCACGAGTGAGGTTGGGGAATCTGGAATATGAACATAGTGGCATTCAGTTAGAATGCGTTCATTCCTAAGTATAGCAGATATAAGCTATAAGGTTGGATTCCTTTTAACCTTCTGTGGCTTAGTGGTAGCGTCTTGACTTAGTAATCATAAGCCCTAGGTTCGAGTCTCGGTCGGGGTAAAAAATAAAATTATTCATGTTTTCACAAATGTAATGTGCTTGCTTGGTTATTTCATATCCCGAATGAGATTGGGACTTGAATTAAATGCTATAATGAAGCCACGAGTGAGGTTGGGGAATCTGTAATATGAACATAGTGGCATTCAGTTAGAATGCGTTCATTCCTAAGTATAGCAGATATAAGCTATAAGGTTGGATTCCTTTTAACCTTCTGTGGCGTAATGGAAGCGCCTTGACTTAGAAATCATAAGTCCTAGGTTCGAGTCCCGGTCGAGGTAAAAAAAAAATTATTCATGTTTTCACATATGTAATGTGCTTGCTTGGTTATTTCATGGCCCGAATGAGATTGGGACTTGAATTAAATGCTATAATGAAGCCACGAGTGAGGTTGGGGAATCTGTAATATGAACATAGTGGCATTCAGCTAGAATGCATTCATTCGTAAGTATAGCAGATATAAGCTAAAAGGTTGGATTCCTTTTAACCTTCTGTGACGTAGTGGTATCGCCTTGACTTAGTAATCATAAGTCCTAGGTTCGAGTCCCGGTCGGGGTAATAAAAAAAAATGATTCATGTTTTCACATACTTAATGTGCTTGCTTGGTTATTTCATGGCCCGAATGATATTGGGACTTGAATTAAAGGCTATAATAAAGCCACGAGTGAGGTTGGGGAATCTGTAGTATGAACATAGTAGCATTCAGTTAGAATGCATTTATTCCTAAGTATAGCAGATATAAGCTATAAGGTTGGATTCCTTTTAACCTTCTGTGGCGTAGTGGTAGCGCCTTGTCTTAGTAATCATAAGTCCTAGGTTCGAGTCCCTGTCGGGGTAAAATAAAAATTATTCTTGTTTTCACATATGTAATGTGCTTGCTTGGTTATTTCATGGCCCGAATGAGATTAGGACTTGAATTAAATGCTATATTGAAGCCACGAGTGAGGTTGGGGAATCAGTAATGTGAACATAGTGGCATTCAGTTAGAATGCGTTCATTCCTAAGTATAGCAGATATAAGCTATAAGGTTGGATTTCTTTTAACCTTCTGTGGCGTAGTAGTAGCGCCTTGTCTTAGTAATCATAAGTCCTAGGTTCGAATCCCGGTCGGGGTAAAAAAAATATTCATGTTTTCACATATGTAATGTGCTTGCTTGGTTATTTTATGGCCCGAATGAGATTGGGGCTTGAATTAAATGCTATAATGAAGCCACGAGTGATGTTGGGGAATCTGTAATATGAACATAGTGGCATTCATTTAGAATGCGTTCATTTCAAAGTATAGCAGATATAAGCTATAAGGTTGGATTCCTTTTAACCTTCTGTGGCGTATTGGTAGCACCTTAACTTAGCAATCATAAGTCCTAGGTTCGAGTCACGGTCGGGGTAAAAAAAAAAATATTCATGTTTTCACATATATAATGTGCTTGCTTGGTTATTTCATGGCCAGAATGAGATTGGGACTTGAATTAAATGCTATAATGAAGCCACGAGTGAGGTTGGGGAATATGTAATATGAACATAGTGGCATTCAGTCAGAATGCGTTCATTTCAAAGTATAGCAGATATAAGCTAAAAGGTTGGATTCCTTTTAACCTTTTGTGGCATAGTGGTAGCGCCTTGACTTTGTAATCATAAGTCCTAGGTTCGAGTCCCAGTCGGGGTAAAAAAAAAATTATTCATGTTTTCACATATGTAATGTGCTTGCTTGGTTATTTCATGGCCCGAATGAGATTGGGACTTGAATTAAATGCTA